CCCCTTACCCTTCAGAGATTCAAATATGCTCCCTGTGAGGTTGGGGTGGGACCAGGGTGGGATGGAGAAGCACTTTCTCCAGAAGCTGAAGGACTCTAGAGCTTTCATGCCCCATTTGGTTTCCTTCAAACTGAAAACCATCAGGCAAAGTTGCCTGTACCCACAGCTCACAGGGGAAATCCTGCAGTTTGTTTTTGGCCCTGGATGGTCAAGTTGTCAGCTCTTATCCTGGCTGGCTGCCTCCTTGTGGACTTGAGCTCACTGCTCGCTCAGGCAAATGAGAGAACAGGGTCTCAAATTTTAGTTACGTGCAGATTCCTGGACGCTTCTGATCCTGGGGCAAGACCCAGAAATCTAAATTTATAAATACATAGTTCTTTTTATTTTTGATGACACAAGTGTCAAATATTCATATGTTGAAGCCCTAACCTCAAGTACCTCAGAATATGACAAAACATAATGTGTGTTAGAATGTATCTAAACCCGTAACAATAGATTGTGGACACAATAACTTTTAAAAAAATTGTTTTAAACTTCTATTGAGACATAATTCACATACCATACAATTCCCTCATTTAAAGTGTACAATTTGCAAATTGGCAGTTATGAAAATAGTCACAGGGATGTAAAGTACAGCATATGGAATATAGTCAATAATATTGTAATAACTGTGTATAGTGTCAGGTGGGTACTAGACTTATTGGGGTGATCACTTCCTTAGTTAGATTAGACATATACATGTCTAATCACTATGTTGTACACCTGAAACTAATATAATTATGTGTGTCAACTGTAATTGAAAGGTAAATAAAGCGTACAATTTAATAGCTTTTTGTGGATTCACAGAGTTGTATAACCATCACCACAATCAATTTTAGAACATTTTTATTACCCCAAAAGAAACTCCACACCGATTAGCAGTCACTCTCCCATTCCCTCTGCCAAAGGCAACCACTAACTATGTTCTGTCTCTATATATTTGCCTATTCTGGACACTTTGTTTAAATTAAATCATACTGTACGTGGTCATTTGGGACTGGCTTCTTTTACTTAGCATAGTATTTTCAAGGTTCATTCCTGCTATAGCATTTATTGATACTTTTTTTTAATTGCCAAATAATATCCCATTGTATGGATATACCACATTTTATTTATCCATTCATCAGTTGGTGAACATTTGAATTATTTCTATTTTTTGCCTATTGTGAATAATGCTACTGTGAATATTTATGTACAAGTTTTTATGTGGACATATATTTTCAATTCTCTTAGGTATATACCTAGGAATGGAATTACTGGATCATAAGGTAATTCTGCTCTTAACCATTTGAAGATACTAAAGTTTTATTCAAATTATTGTTATTCAAGCAATCGAGGACAGATAGTCCATTTTCATGTATTAGAAAACTTAATACTATTAAGATGTCAGTGCCCTCTACACTGACCTATAGAGTCAAGGCTACCCCAATCAAAATCTCAGGAGAAACTTTTACGGACATTGACAACAAAACTCTAAATTTATAAGGAAATAAAAGGGACTTAGAATTAACAAAACCATTTTGACTAAGAATAACAAAGTTGGAGAATTTATACTACCAGATTTGAAGACTTAACTATAAAACTATAAAAGAGAAGGGTTTGGGGGAAAGGATAAACAATGGACCAATGGAACAGAATAGAGACTCCCAAAATAGACCCATATATATATGTGTGTGTGTGTGTGTGTGTGTGTATGTGTGTGTGTATGTGTGTGTATATGTATATATATATATACAGTCATTTGATTTGCAACAAGGCACCATTGCAATCTAACATGAACAGAATGGTCTTTTCAATGTAATGGTACCAAATCATTTGCAAATCCATGAGAAAATAAATGAACTTTCACACCTACGCAATATATAAAAATTCGTTCAAGGGTGGATCATATTCCTCAATATGAAAGATAAAACAATAGGCCTCTAGAGGAAAATAGAATATCTTCATGACCTTGGAATATGCAGAGATTTCTTCAAAAGATTTCAACTATTAAAGCATAAAAAACTGACACTTATTAAAAATAAGAACTTATGTTCATCAAAAACACCATTAATCATGTGAATAGGCAAGTCACAGACTTGGAGAAGGTATTTGTAATACATATTTCTTACAAAGTGCTCATAGCCAGCATATATAAAGAACTACAAATCTATAAGAAAAAGACAATTCATTTAAAAATGGGCAAAAGACCTGAACAGGCCCTTCACAGAAGAGGATATCCAGATGGCCAATAAACATAGGAAAAGATACTCATCAAGGAAGTACAAATTAAAATCACAGTGGTATAGCACTGAACAGCCAAGAGTAAAAGGACTGACAATGCCAACGTTGGATGCAGAGCAACTAAAAGGTCATTCATTGCTGGTGAGTGTAAATTTATTCCACCACTTTGGAAAATTGGCAGTAAAGTTAAGCATATGCCTACTCCCCTATGTCCCAGCAATTCCACTCTTAGGTATATATCCAAGAGAAATTAGTGCATACACCTACAAAAAGACTTGTACATGAATATTCATTGTAAGCAACTTGATTCATAATAGCCCCAAACTGGAAACAATCCAAATATTGATCAACAGATTGGGTCAGTGGATTGTGGATAAATTCATACAGTGGACTATACTACACAGCAATAGAAAAGAACAAACTATTGATACATGGATAAAATCTCAAAATTATAATGTTGAGTGAAAGGAACCAGACACAAGAGAGTACATTCTGTATAATTCCATTTATGAAGTTCAAAAGCAAACTGAACTAATCAATGGTGATAGAAGTTAGCCTAATGATTATCTTAGAGTTGGGGAATATTAACTAGGAGAGGGCACAGCGGAATCTTCTGAAGTGAAGAAAACATTCTGAATCTTGATTGAATTGGTGGTTACACTGGTGTATACATAAGTAAAATTCCACTGAGCTGTACACTTAAGACTAGAGCACATTACTGAATGTAAGTTATTCCTCAATACAAAATAAAATCATTGAGAAAGACTGCTCATATAAAAGAGACTTTTTAATGACTTGAAGTCTGCTCTCTTTTGGGGGGGCAGATGGAATGTTAAACTTCTCTGAGCCTCAGTTTCTCATCTGTACATAGAAATAATATCTACCTCCTGTATATTCATTTGATAATGAGATAATGTATATAAAATACGTCCTTTAACCTCTCTTCCTCAGTTTTCCCATCTCTAAAATGGGTATAAAAGTAGTAACTATCTCAGAAGAACAGAAGCTAATTCACATAAAGCACTAAGAACAGTGTCTGATACAGGAAGCTCTCAAAAAATGCTGATAGTAGCAGTTGTCACTGCTGTTGTCAACATTAAGAATATGGACTCGATTAATTGCAAGGCCCCATCCAGCAGCTGTAGGCCCCTATGAATAAATGAAAGCCTGGAAGATTGGGTAGATGGCCTATGACTCCTGTGACAGGGCTGAGAGGGAAACCCAGACCCCTTGACTCCCCACCCAAAGGTCTTTCCCCCACCCCACATTGCCTAAATACAAGGGAGGAATCTGAGGAAGTTCTGATTCTGCGTTGGTTTCTATGTGCCCGGCCCTCAGTGTCCACCAATAGAGTGTGTGTGTTCATGAAGCATGAGATGGCCCCCTGGGGGAGGAGAGGGACTTCCATCTCCTTTTCTTCCCCTACAGGTGCTTACAATGACTACTACTCCTAAATTAGCCCCTGACATGGCATCTTCTCGTCTAAACAGTTTACATGTAGTTAGGCTGTTATCCCCATTTCACAGTTGAGAGAACAAGGTGCTAAATGACGTGCCCAAGGTCACACTCCCATAAGCAGGGGGGGAGTCAGGAACTGAGTGCAGCCTGCCCGGTGCTGGAACTGCTCTCCTAATCTCTGCACGGCGATGCCCCCTCTAGTGCAGGCTCCGTTTGTGTGAAAGCCTTTCTCCATCATAAACCCCTCCTTGAGGCACTTAGCCTCCTCTCCAACTCCTTTTTTGGGATTGAAGGGGCCACAGGTCCATTAGTGTTTCAGGTCTTCACCAAAGAGAGTTTGTGGCCCACAGCTGGGCTCAGCGTCCTCTGTGGCCCCATCCGGCTCCAAAGCTGCCTCTGCTGCGCCGGCATCGGTGATGTTCTAGGCCTAACCCATACTTCACATTTTTTAAGGGTGACACGCCCTTCCTCCAATATCTGCCCCACCCTTGGCCTCCCCTTCACCTTCCAAGCCCAACATCCACCTTTTTTTTGAAGAACAATGATTTGTAACATCTTGGGCAGCCTAGCAGCTGCCATGAGTCAGTCGGCCAGGGCTCATGTGGTCTGGGGCTTAGGTGTATGGACGTAAGAAACATCCAAACCTGTAGAGAACTTTAGTGAGTGTATTTCAGACAAACTGACCACAATTACCAGGAAGAAAAATCTCAACAGATTAAGAAAACACTCTGGGGAATGGCAGATTTGCAGCTTATTTTATGCATTAGACAAAGGAGGAGACGTGAGGGGATGACATGAACTTCATTGGTGGTAGATTAAGGAAGTAGGAGAAAGCAAAGGGGGGAAATCTCTGGGATTGAATAAAAAGTAAAATGGAGAGATACATACTTTTTTTACATTGGTGCATACAAAATAGTTAATAATTAACATTTTACAGCATATAGAGATGGTATTGGAGGAACAAGATAACAATGAGAAGTTCTGTGGCCTCTGGTGCAGTGGGTTGTGCCCTGAGGGGTTCGGAAAAAGGTTCTGACATTCCAAGGGTTATCTTAGATGCAAAATGACAATAGACAGACTCACTTAAAGTAAAGATGGACCTTCGTTAAGGAAGCTACAGGCCAAGGATGTGACTACCAGCCATGACTTGCTGTTACTTAGGAATTTTTATGTTCAGACCTTCCTATGTGGTTACTTTTGGTCTCTGAGTTTGTGGGGCCTTCCATGCTGGCCTTCCATGAGTTTGTCAGGTTTAGTATGTGGCTCCTTTTCATCCACAGGAGTGTGAAAAGCTCTCAGCTCTCTAGGCTCCAGGATCCCCATGCAACCCTACAGCATCAAAGACAAAGCTGGAAATGTGGACCCTGCAGCAAACCTGGGAGGCTGATACGGATTTCAGTGTTTGGTTCGGTGAGTTCTTTTGGAGATTCTCTGTCCTGAACCAGAATTCTAAAGTAACTACATGTCAGAGAATTAAACTGTTGCCTCCCATCCTGTCTTTCTAATTCTTTGATTTCTCTAGAGTTCATCATAATCTCCACAAAGGTATCTCGGGTTAGAGGGTGCTGTTTCCGTGTAACTGATTTCCTACCCCAAGCAAAGCTCACAGTACAAAAGGCCATTCTGACTTTGCATGTGCATGCCTGGCCAGTTCAGTCCGGTGGACCTTCCACAGACCCTCAGCCTGTGATCTGTTATGCTACTAAGGCCTCCAGCTGACAATTTGCGGTCCAATAAAGGGGCGACTGAGCCTTAAAGCACACCAGCTTCCCTGCCTGTCGCCACAGGACACTGTGCTCCCTCCAGACCCAAATTTACATCCATCCTACATGAACTTTGTACGGTGCCATGCTGCCAAAAGCAATTCCCTCACAAGGTGTCCTATCACAGGAGGCAGACCTTCCGGAGATTTGTGCCGGCCCCGCCGGCATCACATAAAGACACCACCTGAGGGTCAGAGCAGTTCTCCGGAGGGCTGTGTTATCACAGAGGTCTGGGGTGAGGCATCCCCGAGGCTGAGGTGACAGGTGTTTCCCGGGTGTCTTTGAAGCCTGACAGCTAGAAAATAGAAGAGGCCGCGGAAGTAGATCTCACTTATTTTTACGGATGGCAGAAAACCCATGTGTAATATTCTTCTTTTTTAACTGACATACACCCCCAAAGAGTCTGTGCATATTGGAAGGAAAAAAACGAAGGAGAAAAAAGTGTGAGTGTGTGTGTGTGAATGCATTTTTTCAATATTTGTAGAGGGGACCAAATCCGCTTCTGCGCTTCAGTAAATAATGGAAAGAAGAATAGAGCCCAGACCTTGAGCCTCTTCCAGGGGCACACAGTGTGGTTTAAGGAGTGACGCAGCTGAGTCTGAGCTTTGGCAGGAAAGTTCCCCCTTCCTGCACCAAGTTCTCTGTGCCCTGTGGCCAAATGTGGGCCTTCATGTCAACAACTAACTTTGTTGTTTGCACCAACAACTAACTCCCAGAAGTGAGGAAAAAACGTGCCCCGATGTTTACCTTCAGGGAGTCTTTGTTCAGTTCAGCAAAGAAACCTAGTTGCCATGCTTTGCCCTCCACGGTGGATCATGGGAAATTACTTTGGGATTCTGATATCCCACACTTATGAGACATAGACCGGAAGAGACTATGTGCTCCAGCTTCTTCATTTTGATAAGCTCAAACAAAAGGAATGATGGGTACTGTCTCTCTTCTATTTAAGTTTAAGACTGAGGCTGTCCTAAGCCTCCAATTTGCCCAGTGTATTCGTTAGGGAAATTAACACTAGCTGCAGTAACAAAAATCCCAGAAGTCTCAGAGGTTTCACACAATTTAGTCACATTCTAGTCTAATGTGGGTTGAGCAGCTCTCCTGAGTATCTCTCCCCTGAGCTATAACTCAGACCCATTTCATCTTATGACACCACCATCCCCTAAAACTTCTGTGGGGCCCTCTACTGGATCTTCTGCCTTCATCTGGACATCAATGAAGGGACAGCGAACTGATGGACTAAAGGAACATTTTAGGGGCCAGATCTGGAAGTAGCATTTATTATTTCTTCTCACATTCCATTGACCAAAACTCATTACGTGTTTCACCTAGAAGCAAGAAGTCTGAGAAATGTTTCTCCTCATGTACTTGAAAGAAGAAATAGAATTACTGGGACTCTAGCCAGTTCCAGCCACATCTAGTAATGGAGGTGAACCTGAACTAAGAGTTCAAGACCTGATAGCATTCTTGTCCTACCTAGCAGCAATATATAATAATCTCTTTCAATCCAGATATACATTTATGTCAACTACATAGTGAGATCTCCGAACCATTAGAAAGCTCTCCTGCTCCAGCACACCTTCTCTAGTCTACCTATTCTGGAACTTTACTACTAGAAAATCCCACTGGATTCAACAATACCTTGATTTTTTTTTTCTTTCTCTTTTAAAATGTGTGCCAGTTATCAATGAATCGCTTCTTGGCTCCAAATTCACCCTTCATTGCCTGCTCTTCAAAAATAGACGTATATCCTTTAAATATTTTTCCTTTTGCATCTGGCACAATGTTAAGCTTTGTCAATAGAGGATGCTGGAGAGACACTGCAAGAGGGAGGGGTTTTCTGTCCTGGTTCCCTTATGCTTGCTTGGCAGACTCCTGAAGGCTACCAGGCTCCTATAGCTCCGATGGCTTCTCTAGTGCCTGGTTCCTATAATGCATGGTGGCCACCAGCAGCACCCAATGTCCAGTAGCTTCCCTGCCACTTCCACACCTCAGGGGGTTTTATAGTAGAGTACCTCTGGTGAAATATCTCACTAGGATTAGCTTTTTCTGACACCTTGGAAAGCAGATTTCCAGCAAGTTCCACCAGTGCAGCATCCCAGAATCTCCTTTGCCATCCTGTAAGCCTTAGCTGTGCCCCTTCAACAAGGTCTGACTCTCAGCGCGGGAGGGCTGTTCCTTGGGCATTCTATCTCAGCCCTAAGGGTACCTGTTGTTCCTTATCTGCCATTCCTGCATTCTTTAGAGCTCTCTTTATTTCTCAGTCTTTGTTATGTAACCCCCTGTTATAGTTAATAATTCTTTGTATTATACATTCCTTGTCCAAATTACTGTGTAGATTCTCTCTCTTGATTGGATCCAGAGCGATATGGAATGCAAATGTCCTTGGGGTAGAACTCACAAGAAGCCAATGACACTTTAGTGTAAGATAGCTTGTCTTGGTTTCCTGGCACCTAGAGAGTAGAAGGTATCTTGTAGCTAAAAAAGGGGACAGTTGAAATGAAGACCCAGCAAGGGATAATAGAAAAATCCCAATGACAAACTTTGCCTATTTCACAGTTTTGCCATGGCTGACTACAGCTGTTAAGTGTTAATCTTTATTTCAATGCAACACATCTTTGGTTCCCCAGGGTCAGCCTAATGGCACTAGAAATAGAATGAAAGCACTCGTTTTTCTGGTGAAGCAGTAACTCTCATACTTTGATGAGTTCTGTACATTCTTTCCTTTGTTGTTTTGTTTCTTAATCACACATAAAAATGTGTTGCCATATAAAACATAAACAGGACAGCTCTGGACATTTTATTTCTTTGAGCAGAGCCAGGCTACTCCCTGGGTGTACATTACATCAGCTCCTTCAGACAGGACATTATCACCTTAAGGCTGCAAGGAAAACATGAATCAAAACCACGACGATTGTCAGACAATGAAATGGCTCAGTTAAGGAAAGGCTAGTGTTGCCTTTCTCTTGGGGTTGTTAAAAATAGGATGGCAGCTTGTGTTTTTAGGATGGTGTAAGTGTGGTCTTGATTAAAAACTAGAATAGGGAGAACAAGACAACAAAGATCCATTCCAACTTGAAAAAAACTCTCTTTTTATCAGAGTAATATATCTACACAATTTAAAAAACAAATGGCACAGGGGATTTATTAAGAAAATCAACTCTCCTCTCTCTTACTTTCCTTCTCCCATATCCACTGATGCCTGTTCCCTCAGTTCTCTTCATGCTGTGGGGTTACCTGTTTCATATTCCTTCTTTATCATTTGAATAGGTCCCTGGGAGGGGGCAGATAGAAAGCCATGTGCCCAGTCCACCATTTTGAAAAATAGCCTTTCTCTCAACATGTACTCATTTTTTGCTTAGGCAGAAACGTAAGAATTTTCAGTGTTCTGAAAATTCTCTCCTCACTAAGTTAAAATGTGTGTGTGTGTGTGTGTGTGTGTGTGTGTGTGTGTGTGTGTGTGTGTGTGTGTGTGTGATTTAAGCCTGTTAAGGAAACATACTTCTTTTGTCTAGTCTAGTCCTTTTGGCCTTCTAGATATTTCTCTACCCTGTTGGCCACTTGGGTTCAGAACCCAGGCTTTTTGTCCTCATCCATCTGATGCTCCTTGGATAAACATTACCTTAATTAAAACTTTTGATATAGGACAACTGTTAAAATAGCAGATTATAATATTACTATCAGAATTAAAACAGCAATATTGTAAATAGTGCATTGGCTACAACCCAAAGTGCTATGCCCTGTGAAGGGAGACAAAGCAGCCAAGTAGCTATTATAAAACCCAAGTGGCCATAGTGTGGATCGTCACACCTGTCCTGCCACCCTTTCAAAGATGGTTACCCCGTCTCACAATTGCTCACTCCTCAGCTGGGGCCTCCTGCTATATTCCCACCTCCTCTGCCCTTTCTGACAGAAAAATGGAGGACTGAATGGTGCATAGAACAGAAAAATTAGGCTAAATTGATCTTTATTCAACCCACTGCTAGTTAATTCATCTATATACTTCACTTGATCCCAATTTCACTTCTCCCCACCTGTGGCAGCACCACACTTAAACTGCTATAATCTCATGGCCATTAGTCTCCCATCTTTGTTTATTAACAATTATTTTAAAGACAGCTAAGTAGACAACACTCATTGAATGCACCTTTATCTGGGTTGATGTTAGTGACAGGGAAACAGTTGGGACATCTACTTTACAAAAAAAAAAAAAAATGTCATCAAAACTCCTTAGCACATAATACATTTTAGCAATCAGAGCCGGAATCCAAAAGCATAATAAAGAAAGGCAAGTGAAAATGCTTATAATCGTCATATTTTAAATGCCTTATTTCCTGCCAATCTTCCATCCGCTTCCAGAGAAGCGAAAGTTGCCCCCTCTGCCAGCGCCTTTGTCAGCTGCCAGCTGTTACTTCCCTAGAAAAAGGGTCAGAAGGCTGCTGATAGCTAATAGCCAGCCAGAAGCTGCGAGTAAGAACCGTCCCTCGTGGGTTTTAGCTGCTGGATGATTGTCAGCTGAGAGCTACAAGTCCTGGTTTGATAAAAGCTAGCTATAGATTTCAAACCATCTTTTTTTTTCCCTTTTTCCATTTGTGCTCTGAAATTGTCATGCACTCCAAATGGAACTCCGTGAGCATGAGGGCCTTTGTTCTGCC